AGGGATCTCCAGAGTCTGCACATTTCTCGTGACAGACCTCAGCAACTCAGCATTTTGGCTAATCTACTTTATTTACATATAAACACACACGGAGCACTGCAACATGGCTCCCTCTCTCTCTAGCATCAGACAGCAAAGAGAAAAAGAATCAAAGGACAATAGTCCCACTTCACGGAACACAGTAATACAAACATCCTGTTTCCGTCACTTCCTACTCTGTGGAGTCAAAACATATACCGTCTTGTGATAGACAACAATCCCATGACTGCAATCATGGAGCAGGAATTCTAACAGTTATTGTCACTGCCTGGCACAGAAAGACCCAACCCCTCAGGGGTCCCAACTTGGATAAAACATTGGGGAGCATATAAGCCCTGCCTCACATTATCAATCACATGACACAGCACACCCCCCCATTTGAATGGCAATGCCCATTAACTTTAGGGAGGCGGCCCCCTCAAATATTTTATTGGGGGGCCAAGGGACCTTGGCCCCTAGGAGTTGGCTCCTATGCCCCCCTCCAACACAGGACCCTAAGCCCCCAACCCATCCCTCACCCAATCCTTTTTGTCTATATACAATTGGTATTGTTGATCTCCTACTGTGTTTGAAAGGCCTATATATTATGAGCCTCTGAAGTCCATCCTTCCTTAATGCATGACGCAACACACGTGTGACGCCGCCCAGCAGATGCATATAGCTGTTGTGAGAATCAGAAGATTATGTGCGATGCCTTTAGACAAAAAAGTTGTTTTGGACAACAGCATCTCGCATTTCGAAACAGTGGCAAAGGCAAATATCGTTACAAGCAAAATATTGGAAGGGAAGTAAAATATTGGAAGGCAAGTAAAATTCCATCCACTGGCAAATGGTATCATAAAAGTTTGGTTTGTGGTGGGGATGAATATAATTTCTATTATGGTTGATTTGTATAAGCAATTTAAATGAACTTTATCCATCTGTTAAAGAGTGGAAACCGTTTAAAGGATACTGTCAGTCTAGATTCCCCTATGACAATGATAAATGAACAAGGCTTGATGTTGTTATAAGTTTATTTGCCTCCCAAGGACAATTTATAAACAGAATTAGAAGTTGTCAGTAGTCAAAGAGAACTTGTTTAGATTGGTTTGCTGCTTGTGTATGTGTACATGCTCATAACCAATAATAATAATAATAATAATAATAATAATAATAATAATAATAATAATAATAATAATTTTATACCATGTCCATCTGGCTGGGTCTCCCTAGACACTATTAAGAATGTCATTCTACATAAACTTTCAAAATATAGTAAGAAAAATGTTGAAAACTCTCCCAACTTGCGTTAGAAAAAGTACTTTTATGAAAAATAAAACACAAAGAGTTGGAACCAGGTTTAGTCACACTCTGAGTATGCTCCTTGAAAACACCCTGGCTTAATTTGGTTTACTCTGAATACGATTAAATATGGATCCAAAACAAATAGGGTGTTGTTGTTTTTAACGGCTTTCGAACATTCCCACAGCTTCTAAAGCTGCTACAGCAAAGTGGGAGATGACTGCTGATTTAGAAACCAGAACCCCAAGCCCCCTTGGCCATACAGTGGTACCTCGGGTTACAGAAGCTTCAGGTTACAGACTCCGCTAACCCAGAAATAGTACCTCGGGTTAAGAACTTTGCTTCAGGATGAGAACAGAAATTGCACAGCGATGGTGCGGTGGCAGCGGGAGGCCCCATTAGCTAAAGTGGTGCTTCAAGTTAAGAACAGTTTCAGGTTAAGAATGGACCTCCGGAACGAATTAAGTTCTTAACCCGAGGTACCACTGTATAGATCTAGTTGCAACATTCTTTTTAAAATAAACCTAAAGTGAATTGTACACTCGAGAACTAACGCCCCAGATCCACACCCTATTTTCGAAGCACATCCAGCACACATTCCTCACGGAATTTTCTGGGAAATGTAGTTTGTTAAGGGTGCTGGGAATGATTAGAATGTGAAGGGGGAACTACAATTCCCAGAATTCTTTAGGGAACATTATGTGCTTTAATTGTATGTTGGATGTACTTTACATGTATGACGTGGATCTGCCAATCTCTGCAGGACCAAGGAGAGGAAAGGCAGTAAAACCGAAACAGAGAGGATGGTGAATACACCACAGATACCTGTTCCACTGCAGATATGTGTAAAGGAAGCTTTCTTTCTATGCATTTAGGATTGATCGCTTTCCTTGCAAGAAGCCTGCCCCAATCACACACCCCGCCCTTTTTTAATTCTATATTTGGAAAAGTCAAATTTCAAATTCTTAAGAATCCAGGGTTAAGAGCACCTGGGTCAATAGGCAGAAAATATATGTTGATAAGCAGTTGTAAACAGCTCAGACCTGGGCATGTTTTCTCAAATACAATTTCCACTAAATTCAAGAGTGAGGTTTTTTTACCCACAATGTAATTGTATAGAATCACAGCCCACATGAGCACAGTGTCATTGTGGCAATTTTTGGATTCTGTCTTACTAGAAAAGTGACACAGCTCAGCGTGGGAGGTCTCCCAAAAAGAAGTTCGAGTTTCTTTGCTGGTGCTCACCACTTTTGACAGTCATTAAATTTCCCAGGCTTGCTGGCTAACATCTAAACAATGACCGTCCAACATCCTCGCAGCTGAAATCTGCAAGTAATTTCGACAACGGACTCGGTGGCAGATGAAGTTAACACAGGGATGAAGATATAATTGCTTGAGTCAGAGAGGAATTGAAACCCCAAGACAAATGGCATCTCCATTCTCTCACTCACTATTCAAATAAATTATCTGAGGCCACACACTGGCTTCCAGAAATAGCACTGCAAAATATAGAAATACGTTGCATTAGTTTGCGAGGCACCAAGAAAGAAAGGTGATTGCCTGAAACAAATGATTATGTGACAATTTCCCTTCATTTCACCTCTCCTTTTGAGATGATCCTTTGTTTTCATGTGAGACTGTCATTTCTGTTGACTGCATTATGGACAAGGCTCAAAATTCCATTGCTTGGATGCGTTATGAAATGGTTTTCTAATCACCTATGTTTATATACTGTATTTTTCGCCCTATAGGACACACTTTTCCCCCTCCAAAAATGAAGGGGAAATGTGTGTGCGTCCTATGGGGCGAATCCAGACTTTCGCTGAAGCCTGGAGAGCGAGAGGGGTCGGTGCGCACCGATCCCTCTCGCTCTCCAGGCTTCAGGAAACTCTGCGCAACCCTTGGGAGACCGGCGCGACTTCGCGCCGGTCTCCCAAGGGTTGCGCAGAGCTGCCTGGAGTCCCGGGCTTCACGGGGGGAAATAATTTTTTCCCATTATTTCCCCCCCCAAAAAAACCCAAGGTGCGTCCTATGGGGCGGTGCGCCCTATGGGGCGAAAAATACGGCAAATATTGTAGCAATATTTTGAACCAACTGCAGTTTTTTGGATCATCTTGAGAAGCAATATTGTGAAGAGGCAGGTTCCCAAACTTATTTGGCCTACCCCACCCCCTTTTCAGAAAATCTACCTTCTTTAAGCAAACAAAGAAAGATTTGCGTTCTTTCCTGTATCTATATTTCTACCAACGTCCTCCAACATAGCAAAGGAAGATGATGTTGTAAATAAGACACCTTGAAGCTTGAAATTATACAATTACTTCTTAAAATCAACCGTGGTAACATTTGCATTACACACAGAAAATTAGGATAATGAAGGAAAATATTGAAATAAAAATCATGAACAACATCAAAAAATAATCGCAACGAGAATGATGAGCCTGGTGTACTGCTATCAATGTATTATTTTTTGTCAGCAGCATTCTTAAATCAGCATGATTAGCTATCTGCAGTCGATTTCTTTTTTTAGTTAACAGATCTGTGACTGCACTGAACCCACGATCCACTAAATACAATGAAAGAAATGAAGGGGAAATGTGTGTGCGTCCTAAACACCAAGGGAAATGGGCCGACCAAACAAAAGAAAAATCTGCATTTTATTGGAATGTATATATGATTTTTTGGGGGGGAAATTTAATAAAATTTAACTGGGAGGGGGGGAATCTAAAACCACCATCCTATCCATGCTTACTTGGGAGTAAGCTGCACTGCATTTAGCGGGACTTGCCTCCAGCTAAGGCTGGAAAATCATAGAATTGTACAGTTGGAAGGGACATCTGAAGGCAGCCCTGTTTAGGGAAGCTTTTAATGTTTGATGTTCTATCGTGTTTTTAATAGTCTGTTGGGAGCTGCCTAGAGTAGCTGGGGAGACCCAGCCAGATAGGCGGAATATAAATATATTATTATTATTATTATTATTATTATTATTATTAGGGTCATCTAGTCCAACCCCTTGAATGCACGAATCATAAGATTGCTTGGTCAGCTAAAATCCCTTTGCTGCTGTTCCAATAACAGCCATACCTTCCTGCTTGATTTGATTGCCATCCTATGCCCTTTCAAAATGTGTGTTGTTTTATGGGAAGTTGTTGTTTTAATTTTGATTATGGATCTTGTGGTTTTATATTTTGATTTTATTCTGTAAACCGCCCTGAGACCTGTGTGTATAGGGCGGCATATAAATTGAATATTATTATTTTTAATAATAATATATTACTAATATAATATGGTATATATAATATATATTAATAGAAGATAATATATATATAAATAATGTAAATATCATTATTCGTGCGGCTAATAGGAGCTTGCATTTGGTATAATAATAATAATAATAATAATAATAATAATAATAATAATAATACCAAAGGCAAGCTCTCATTCGCAGCGCGGGTAAAGCCCAGCGCCCGCGTCCCTGCGTCACAACAGCAGCAGCGGTGCATGGTGGGATACGTAGTCCCGGCGTGCTCCCCTCCTCCGAGCCTCGAGACTACATCCCCCAGGAAGCACAGCGCGGAAGAGCCGCGCGAGCCCTTGCGTCAGCGGCGCCGGCAGCCAATCGCGGCCGGGCCGACGCGAGCGCCGCCCGCCGCCAATGTTGTTTTCGCTGAGTCGAGCGGCTGGTGTTGTTGGCGGTGCCGGCGCCATATTGGAAGGGACGAGGCGGCGTTTTTTTTTTTGCCCCCCCTCAGCCCCCCCGCCCGCCGCCTCAGGAATAACGGAGCCCCCCTCAGAGCGGGCCTCGCTGCCGACGCCGCCATGCTGTACCTAGAGGACTATCTGGAAAGTGAGTCTCCGCGGTGCGCGCGTGAGTGTGTAGAGGGAGGGGGGGCGCCAGGCCCGAGGGGAGGGGGGAGGGAGGACGGAGCGCGAGGCGGAGGCTCCGCCCACCGCTCCTCCCGCCCTCCGTGTCAGCTAACTCGCTCCTTCTCTCCGCCCCCCTCCCCCGCCAGTGATCGAACAACTTCCCATGGACCTCCGCGACAGGTTCACCGAGATGCGCGAGATGGACCTGCAGGTGCAGAGTACGTGAGTCAGCCCCGCCCCCTTCGCGCGCCACGCAGAGGGAGGAGGTGGAGCCGTTGGGTGTGAGCGACGCGCCAGCCGCCGAATAGGAAGTCGGCGAGCTCTCAAGAGCCCGCCTGCCCGTTCGCCGTGCAATGGAATTGGGGTTTTCTTCCTATCGATGCCGCACAGCGGAAATCAGCCGGGCTTTATTCCAAGGGATGGGGTTAAAAGTGATCAGAGGTTTATTGGGGGGGGAGGGGGGAGGAAGAGACTTATCCTGCTGCAGAGCTGCTGAAGACAGAATAATTTCCATTTCGTGGAATGATTTTTAGATTCTGCCCGACCGAACCCAAGTATTCTGTGTCCAGAGCATCACAGGCAGTGTAGGAAGGAGAGGGCAATGGTTGCATGCCTCAGTATGTGGCACTAAACCACCGAGCCTCTTGGGCTTGCCGATCAGAAAATCGGTGGTTTGAATCCCCATGATGAAGTGAGCTCCCGTTGCTCTGTCCCAGCTCCTGCCAACCTAGCAGTTCGAAAGCACACCAGTGCAAGTAGATAAATAGGTACCACTATGGTGGGAAGGTAAACGGCGTTTCCATGTGCTCTGGTTTCTGTCACGGTGTTCTGTTGTGCCACTAGCGGTTTAGTCATGCTGGCCACATGACCTGGAAAGCTGTGTGGACAAACTCTGGCTCCCTTGGCTTAGTCACCTATGATGTCCTTTACCTTTTTTTAACCTTTTACTTTCAAAACTTAAAAGGGATCCATGAATTAGATCTCTTGTCAGACGCTTACGTGCACATATAGTTTTCACGTAAGCCGCCTTTTACTTACTTCTGCTATACGGTTGCAAACCATTGTATAATTATACAAGACAAATGAATGTACATTCATGTTCTGTGTGTTTTAAGATGCAATGGATCAACTGGAACAAAGAGTAAATGAATTTTTTATGAATGCAAAGAAAAACAAGCCGGAATGGAGAGAAGAACAAATGACATCAATTAAAAAGGTAGGAATGAGGTAATATCTGGCCAAAAGAAATAAAACAAAAACAAAACACCCCAAACTAGGCTATTCAATCAGTTCTGATGCTACTACAAGTCTCACACAATCTACTCAGAGCTTTTAAAAAGCTATGAATTCATAGAAGATTGTGGCTCCCGTTCTGTAAAAATGGAAAACACAACTTGCAGTTTTTTTTCAGAGCCGATTTCTTGCTTCACCTGAAAATGGACAAGTGACTTGTACGTAGTCAAAGAAATAAATGCAATCAGACTTAAAGTCATGTTGATTGTACTGTTTATTTGGAATATTAGTTCAAGAGCCTTTAGTATCAAGTTAGCATCAAGTATCAAGACGCCAAAAGAAATAGCTGCAAAGAAATACAGTGGTACCTCGGGTTAAGTACTTAGTTCATTCCAGAGGTCCGTTCTTAACCTGAAACTGTTCTTAACCTGAAGCACCACTTTAGCTAATGGGCCTCCTGCTGCCACCGTGCCACCGGAGCACAATTTCTGTTCTCATCCTGAAGCAAAGTTCTTAACCTGAAGCATTTCTGGGTTAGCGGAGTCTGTAACCTGAAGTGTATGTAACCTGATGCGTATGTAACCTGAGGTACCACTGTACTTGACTGGATTTCCAGCAGTATGAATCATGGCCTTGAAAATCGGATTTGAAATGCAAAAAGTCCCAAGTATGAGCAACATCCTTCAGTCTGATAGGAACTAAGCTTTATACCAAGTCAGACCTTTGATCGTATCTAGCTCAGTATTGTCTGCACTGACTGGTAGCAGCAGCTCTACAGGATTTCAGGCAGGAGAGATTCTCAGCCTTACCTGGAGATGCCAGGGACATAACCTGTGACCTTCTGCATGGAAAGCAGAAGCTCTTACAGTGGTGCCTCGCAAGACGAAAATAATCCGTTCCGCGAGTCTCTTCGTCTAGCGGTTTTTTCGTCTTGCGAAGCAACCCTATTAGCGGATTAGCGCTATTAGCGGCTTAGCGGCTATTAAAGGCTTAGCGGCTAAAAGGCTATTAGCGGCTTAGCGGCTTAGAAAAAGGGGGGGGGAGCGAAAAAAATCGCAAGACTCGCAAGACGTTTTCGTCTTGCGAAGCAAGCCCATAGGGAAAATGGTCTTGCGAAGCAACTCAAAAACGGAAAACCCTTTCGTCTAGCGGGTTTTTCGTCTTGCGAGGCATTCGTCTTGCGGAGCACCACTGTATCTTAAAAACTGAGCTATGGCTCTTCCTCTAAATGTTTCAGTCTTCAAGGACAATAAGCCTTGAGCTGTCTCACCTCCCCACCCCCACAAGAAAAGTGCTCTGGTCCGCAGGTATGGCTATTATTTTTGCTAGACATAAAATATTTTTTAACTTCCATTCTGATGTTTTGTTATTCTGGGGGAAATATTGGTATTATACGGTATATTGAATTTCTCTTCCATGTTTCAAAATAGGGGAATGTGGTGAGCTAAAGAATAATATTAAACCATAAAATCAAATAATGTTCTTAACTGTCATTTTGATAACTCCGTATTCAGCGACATTGTTAAATCATAAACATACAAATGTTTGACCAAATGGCCAAAACAGTCTCCTGCATTTCATTTATCCACCTATCTTGAAACTGATTTTTCAAGAACTTGTGAACTTTGTTTATCTTCAGAGTTCTTTATTTTTGTATATTAATGGTCATCCAAGTTCATTATAATTTTGTAGTACTAAAAATGATTTCTCACAGTATTTTACTTTTATTTCCCCCCCAAACAGGATTACTATAAAGCCCTAGAAGACGCAGATGAAAAAGTACAGTTGGCGAATCAGATTTATGACTTAGTAAGTAAAATAACGAACTTGGCTACTGGACTTTTAACTTGCAGACTTTTAAAACGTTAACACTCATTCTTCTTAACATTTATAACATTTTTGTATGCGTGAACATTTATAACTCTGCAACACTTTAATGTGTCTGGGGGCGTTAGTGGGTTGTTTTTATTTTGATTGTGTATTTATGTTGTGATTATATCCTGTGTACTGCCCTGAGACCTGTGGGTATGGGGCGGTATACAAATTTAATAAAAATTAATAATAAAAATAAATAATACAGTCTTACCTTGGATCCCAAACGCCTTGTGAGTCTTAACGTTTTGGCTCCCAAACGTTGCAAACCCAGGAGTGTTCCTGTTTGCAAATGTTCTTTGGAACCTGGATGTCTGACGCAGCTTCTGCAGCTTCCGGAAGCTGCGGGTTGGTTTTGGAAGGATTTGCAGGATTTTGAATCCAGTGGCTCTAAAGCAGGGGTTGGCAAGGTTTGAACTGCCTGGGCCAGTCAAGTCCTGCGGAGAGCCCGTGTGCAATTTTCGGCATCTGGGCATGTGCAGACGCGATTTCCAGTGCTGCAGAAGCGAGTCCCCGCACCGCACCGGTTTAGCACAGTGCGCGGGTACTCGCCGAGCAACGGCTCGGTTTGGGTGCGACTCGTGGGCCAGTTAAACTGCCCCCGTGGGCCACTTGCAGCACAATTGCTGGTGGTAGTTTTCTGCTCCCTGGAATGCAGCTGGGGCCTTGGTTGTGGCACAGCCCCACTAGCAGTGCTCCTATCTACCAGCAGAGGCTGGCAGAGAGATACCTACTCAACCATCCTAAACTGCATCCTCCCCCCTCCCCCGTCAGTGTTGTGGGATTAGGATTGCACTCTAAGTGCTGTGACACAAGTGTTACTTCACCACCTGTCAGTTGATGGCGGTAGAGCTGAAGCTTGCTTTCTGCAAACATCTGGTGCATGAGGAAGTTACGCATGGGAAACTCCCTTTTGTATCCAGTCCAGAAGGCTTTGGGGTTTACCAGTTTTCCTTCGCCAGTGCACAGTCCAGAGCACACTAGAGTTTCCTGATTGTGCATTGGCAGCTGTGTGTGTGACAGGTGGGGGCATGGTTTGGGAGAAGCAGCCTTGCAGACCAAATGTGAGCCAAGTTTGGCCTGTGGGCCGGATGCTCCCCAACACTGCCTTAGGCAACCTCAAAGCCTTGAGTGCAAAATAGTGGGATTTGTGAATCTGTAATTGGCGGTCTTTCATCTTATGTTTTTTAACAGTTTCAAGAAGGGATGGTAGCTGTGGTTTGTGAAACCAGATCAAAATTTTCTTGGGGTGTGGAACTACCGTATTTACATGAATCTGATGCTCCATCGGATCTAATGCACACCTCAATTTTCAAAATCTTGAAACCAAAAAAGTATTTGCTGGAGAATGTAAATGTGGCATCAAATCTAATGCACACTCTAATTCTCGTGACGTAATTTGGCCAAAAAAGGTGAGCATTACATTTGAATAAATGCAGTAGGTGGAACCCTACTTGTGTAGGGTTTAAATTCCAGCCATATTTTGGAGGAATTTGGGTGCCACATATACTAGAAGATTTCTGTAGCACAGTGCTCCGAAGGCTTCACACTATCTTACTTTATATTTTTTGTTAATAGGAAAAGGTTTTTGACATGTACATGATTGGTTAAATATTCTCAGCAGTACAATCTTAATACACATTCACACAAAAGGAAGGCCCATTGAATTAAATAGCTTACTCTTCAATAGTTTTTCTCAGGATACAGTATACACTTACCTTTAGAGTAAGCCTCACTGAACTCAAGAAGATTGATTTCTGATTAGAACTGTATAGGATTTCATTGTTAGAGTTTTTTTCAGCTTAATGTTTTCATGTCCAGGGATCCTTTTATACAGATTCTCATTTGTGATTTTTTTAAAAATACAGTATTGGTGTTTGCCACACTTCATATTAACTTTTTGATTGTGTGAAGTAATAAACTTGATGAAAAATAGCCTGACATCTCAAAAAACATATGTTCTTAAATCAGGTAGACCGCCACTTGAGAAAATTGGACCAGGAATTAGCAAAATTTAAAATGGAACTTGAGGCGGATAACGCTGGGATTACAGAAATATTGGAAAGGCGTAAGTATACCTGGTGGCCTTCTCCAGTCATCATAATTTTGCCAGCACATAACATCACAATCTGTTGCTGCTGTAGCAATAAAGGGTTTCCTTTTGTTTCTCATTTGTCAAAATGAATCATAACTATTAAAACTGGGTCAAATTTTTTTCCTTGGGCCCCATCACAGTAGCATGAGCAAGAGTAGAATCTATGGTCTAATAGATCCTTTATGCTGCTTTTTAGTTTGTTTCCTGAACATTTCACAGGATACCCATTTGAAGCTTCATTGCAAGCCATCTTTAAAGTTTGTCTTATCTGTGTGCGTCAAGAATTAAAATAGTCTTGGGTCCTGAAGAAAGTCTTATCTGTTGCTTCTCTGTGCATTCATATTGGTAGTACAGAGTGTAAAAACCTCAGGCTTTGGAGCCATATGTGGCTCTCCCTCTTCCTCTGCACAGATCACACCGCTCACCAGTCCTGCTCCGTGCTCTTCTTGAGTGTTTCTCCTGATGTGTCCTTGAACTGTGATGGTTCCCTTGCTTGCTTGGATTGAAAGAAGCGTGTGTGACCTTTGTGTGGCTGGAACGTTGTACAGATGTAAAGCATCACATCCGTTGCTCTGCTACTTTTGCCTCTGTTGCAGCCCACCAATGGCATGCAGCACCCTGAAGGAATGTGGATTTTGGACCTCAAAGGCCCCTGCGATAGGGTTGTTCTCTTCAGAACTCAAGAGGCTATTGGCTTGAATGTGGCAAACCAGGATAGAGAACGAAAACCTCTCTGGTTAATTTCATAGCACTAGCTTCTTCTGATGAAAATGCAATGTGCAGTATTTTAAGGATGGTGTCAGATAACAAAACTTTCTAAGTTGCCATAACTATAATTCATTCTTGAATACTCTTTCCAATAGGTTCTTTGGAACTGGATACACCATCACAGCCACTGAACAATCACCACGCTCATTCACACACCCCAGTAGAAAGTAAGTTGAATGTTGCAACCTTTGCTTTTGTTTTGGTGTGAAGAAGAACAATACAACAGGCAGAAATTCAGCAGGTTGTGCTTTTCAAGTATAGAAATATAATATGGAGAAAGCTTTGCCATGACTGATCTCTCTCAAATTTTGTATTATGCCATGTGCACCCACAGCGTTCTCACAAAATTCAACATGTGCTCACTGGTCCAAAAGGTTTGGTGACCCATATCTGTGGAAAAGAGCTCCTGGACTGAAATGTGATGGTGCTTTTCATGATATATGTATGTGTGTGTGTGTGTGTGTGAGAGAGAGAGAGAGATTTTTTCCTTCTGTAGTGATAAGCCCTTTGCACAAAGCGCCAAGTTTGACTTTTGGATTAATAGAGTGTGTTTTGTTTGTTCGTATAGAACGGAAGCATAATCCCTCATCTCACCATGCAGCGGCAGATCATGTCCCTGAAAAGAAGTTTAAGTCTGAAGCTCTTCTGTCAACTCTCACTTCAGATGCCTCTAAAGAAAATACACCAGGTAATTACAATGTCAGGTGTAAGTGAAGTTTTAAGCATACAAATGGAGGATAGTCTCTTTCCTGATCTATTAATGGGATTGCTCCCACAGGCTGTTTTTCAGAGAGGCAGGTACAGTCTATTTTTAAACAGGGCTCTGGTTGTAAGACCCCTGTATGTGGATCCCTAATAAAATTGTTACTGGTGGAGGACAGAAGCAAGGCAAGGACAAGGAATTTATCCCTCCTTTAATCTTACCACCCATGCTTGCAACAGCAGCTTTCTAGTCCTTGTGATGGTGTTTCTTTGTTTTTGAAAGCTGGGGGGGGATCACTCACCTTTCCCCAACCTTGCATTGGGCTCAGAGGATGGAAGTGGCAAGATTCATTCAGTCCCCAATTGTAAATACTTCCTCCCTGTATCCTGCCCATCTCAGGAGTGGTGAGGGTGATAAATTTAGCTAAGAGAGTTTACTGTGGAGAAGAACTACTGTTGGAAGGTAGAGGGGGTTTATCCACCTCTTCTCGGTTATTTATTATTACTATTATCATTCAGTACCTTCTCTCATTATATACATGCCTCACCCATCCTTCCATTGTCTTTTTCCATCCTCTAGGCCACATTTACCAGCTTCGCACACCTGTCAGCTTTGTCCACCAGGGTGAGGGAGATAAAGATCTGTCTTTCTTGCCATAAAAGGTTCCCCACTGCTGGATTTAAAAAACAAAATAAAAAACGGGCAACAAAAGGACAGGGTGGAGTGGTGTGTTTTCAGCATTTAATGGGAACTGTATAACGAAGATACCAGATGCACCTTGTCAGGAGAAAGTTCCACTTCTGATCTTGTAACACCCAAGAAGTAGGGATGGAGGCAGTCATTCAGATATTTGGGGCCCAAGTTGGTTAAAGCTTTACACATTAGCTCTGGGGCAAGAGAGCAAACAAAGATAGGAACGTCTGAAGAGTAGAGCAGTGCCAAGTTGTTTTACAGAACATTATATCCTGTTAGTCTTTTTGTCCCTTAACGAAGGGGCTGACTTTCACTGGTAGACACAGCTGGTTTTCAGCTTTCTGAAATTTAAATCTACTTTTAGTTTTCACTTTGGACTATATAAATATGTTCCCTTTGTTCATCAAGGGTGTCGAAACAGTAATTCATCATCCTCATCCAACAGTGCATATAATGCAAATTCTTCTCAGCCATTGGCATCGTATAACCTGGGCTCATTATCTTCAGGAGCTGGAGCTGGTGCTATTACCATGGCAGCAGCTCAGGCAGTGCAAGCCACAGCACAGGTAAGGAATTCAAAATACATTGCTTAAAGTACCTGCAGTCTGAGTTGGACAACTTTTATTTAGTTTAGATTGGTATTTAGAAACTGAATTTTTATGGCACTAGTTTATACAGAAAAGGAGGCAGTTGTTTTCACATAGTGCATTCTAAAAACTCTTCCCAGCATATTGAACTTGCACGTGTTTGATAAGGTTTGCAGTGTGATCCTGTGCGTACCTGTACAAAAGTATGCTCTGCTGAGTTCAGTAAGACTTAAAGGTAGAGGGACCCCTGACCATTAGGTCCAGTCGTAACCGACTCTGGGGTTGCACACTCATCTCGCTCTATAGGCCGAGGGAGCTGGCGTTTGTCCGCAGACAGCTTCCGGGTCATGTGGCCAGCTTGACGCTTCTGGCGAACCAGAGCAGCACACGGAAACGCCATTTACCTTCCCGCTTGAGCGGTCCCTATTTATCTACTTGCACTTTGACGTGCTTTCGAACTGCCAGGTTGGCAGTAAGACTTACTCCAAGATAAATGGCTTTAGAATTGCAGCATTCAGCCTCAGTCCTGTGCACACTTACTTAAGCGTAAGTCACATTGAAATAGGATGCAAGACAATATCCAGCTTGGTTTCTTAGAGCATGTGGGTAATTACGATCAAGCCATAATTTCCTGTAAGTGTTGGAAATGTGAGTACTCTTTTAAATGCAACAGATAGTTCAAAGCATGCTTTAAATGTTTACTAGCAACGGCATAATATATTAATATGGCTTCTTTTTTTTTAGATGAAGGAAGGAAGGAGAACGTCTAGCCTAAAAGCGAGTTATGAAGCCTTTAAGAACAATGACTTCCAACTTGGAAGAGAATTTTCATTATCCAGGGATACTGCTGGGTACTCATCATCCGCCTTGGCATCTACATTATCTCAGACTTTGAGTTCATCAACCACAGATTCACGGAGTGGTCGAAAAAGCAAGTAGGTTCATGAAAAATGGTTGCTTCCCTTCGGCTGGGCTCACTTAAGAATTTGGAGAAATTATTAATCTGTTATTAGGAGTGTTCACAGTTTTTAATAGAAACTCAGAATTTTGAACTGGTGATCTCATTTTGCTTCATTCCCTGATGCTTTGAGATGATTCAAACGCTACATTTAAAAAGTTTAAATGTATGCCCTCATGTTTTTATGCACAGATGTCATCATACATACACAACAGTCTAATTTTTAAAAGGTTTTTAGTAACATAAGACCTGTACTAAGAATAGAAGTATACATAATTACCCAGGTGATAGTCTCTTCTCTTTTCTTCCATATGTCAGTTGACACAGCTGCTTCTTTCTCTCTTTGACTTTTACTGAAGGGTGCCTACTTGCTCTTGAAGGCTAGAAGAAATGAATGCTAAATCAAAAATATATAAAAGTAGCCATCCACACATTGATTTATAGAACTTACAAACACAGGATAAAAGCTCCATAGAAAATCAACAAGGTTCGGAATAGTACTGAGTCCCCATTGTGGTTATGAAACGTGAAAGGAAGAACATGATGAGCCAGTACAGAAAAAGCATGTCTACTCCTTAATTAAGCGAAATAATGGCACTGTGGGTTAAACCACAGAGCCTAGGACTTGCTGATCAGAAGGTTGGCGGTTCGAATCCCCGCGACGGGGTGAGCTCCCGTTGTTCAGTCCCTGCTCCTGCCAACCTAGCAGTTTGAAAGCACGTCAAAGTGCAAGTAGATAAATAGGTACCGCTCCAGCGGGAAGGTAAACGGCGTTTCCGTGCGCTGCTCTGCTTCGCCAGAAGCGGCTTAGTCATGCTGGCTAAGCTGTACGCCGGCTCCCTCAGCCAATAAAGCGAGATGAGCACCGCAACCCCAGAGTTTGCCACGACTGGACCTAATGGTCAGGGGTCCCTTTACCTTTACCTTTAATGTAATACTAAAGTTGTTGCCGTCTGTCAGGGCAGGAACACTTGCTTATACCATTTCTAATCTCAAAAATCCTCATATTTTGTCAATTTAAGGGTGTGGTTGTTTTTTTTTAAAAAGAAAATGTTTACATCAAATATAGATTATTGTCCCACAGCTTAGCTATAAATTTCTGCTGTAGTGTCTTTCTCGTTTCAAATTACACACACAACTTGATGGAAAGTAAAGGGAGAACACACTGGGTATGTCTTTATTTTTCAGAAACAATAACAAATCTTCAAATCAACAATCGTCGTCATCTTCCTCGTCTTCCTCCTTGTCATCTTGTTCCTCATCCTCGGCTCTAGCACAGGAACTGTCTCAACAAACAGCAGTAATACCAGAGTCCGAATCTAATAGCCAAGTTGATTGGACCTATGATCCAAATGAGCCACGTTACTGCATTTGTAATCAGGTATATTTTGTTAAAATACGATGTTACGCAGAATACCTGGTAGAAAGTTTCCGTTTTTATACGATAGTTGGCTCGTTGATCTTGGTTCATTTACTGAGAATCGACCACATCTGGTAGCAGATACTAAGAGATAAACTATTCAGCTTTCAATGATTGCACTTGAAAGACAATATATTGCTTTAGACTGCACGTTATAATGGCTGGTCTGTAAAGCTAGACAGTTGTGATCAAAATCTGTTGATATATGCAGAATGCTAAGTTTTGTTTTAAATCAACTTATTTTCACAGTATTGTGGCTTCAGTTAAAATTGTGGAAAATGCATGGATACTGTTAAGATACCTTTTGGGCTTTAGATTGGAGTTCTCAGTACTGATTTCTGCCCTGTGTTTCTCTTTCTGTTACTCATGATTCCCAGCCACTTCCTTATAACTTGGTGCATCTACAGCTCTTGCATTTTTCGTGTCCTCCTTCCCATTCAGTGCCCCAGTACCTGCAAGTTTTTCGTTTAAAAGTGTGCCATGCACAAAACACGGTGTAAATTTATATAACATTTCTGACCATGAAACTTTGCTTTTGTCACTGCAGCATTTGTATAGCGAGGAAGCCTTGACATTTCCTTTCCCACATAATAACATCCAAAGGTCAATATTTATGAGGAATGTTAAAGTGTTTTCTCTGGAAGTGATAACATTTATAAAAAGGTTACAAAATCTTAGCAGCGTACAAATATCGAAAACAAAAGATAGGCCCAGCTTCAGACTTACAATCCAATGAGACAAGAATTAAGGGGGCGGGGGGTTGACTGGTATATATCAATAAATTGATATATCAGTATATTGCACAGAACCGGTATGTGGGGGGACACCACAATGACAGCTTCACTCAGCGGTATATCACTGGTGAAACCGCCACCGCTCTTGAGTCCCTCTGCCTCCAGCGCGCTGAAGGAGAAACACTAGCCAGGAGTGGCAGCGGTATGCCGCTGGTGAAACCATCATCGCACTCTCCCCCAGCAGAGGGAGAATCAAGCTGAATTGGCGAAGTGCTGCTGATACAGCTTGTTCCTCCCTCCGCTTCTTTAAACCTCTTGGCTGAGGAACACGCTCCTGTCCTCCCCTTAGCAAAGCAGTTTTACAGAGTCCCCGACCCGCCACCAGCTCAGGGATGGGGGCTCCGTTAAAGTGCTCCTCCCAAGCTGAGAGAGCCCCAACCCTGCTCCTGCTTGCACTTGAGTAGGAATGGGATCGGGGCTGCAGCCTTGCTTGGCTACTGCCTAGCTGCCTTCGTCTAGGGTGGTGTGCTGCGCCTTTCCTCCCAGAAAGGCAGCAAGAAGAAGAAGAAGAAGAAGAATTTATACCCCACCCATCTGGCTGGGTTTCCCCACCACTCTGGGCAGCTTCCAACAAAGACCAAAAATACACTAAAATGTCACACATTAAAAACTTCCCTGAACAGGGCTGCTAGGCGGTGTAGAGGCTCATTGATGCCTAACAGGCGAGCACTTCGCTATGGCTGCCTGGTCCGTCTTCGGGGAGTAGGGGGCGAGCAGGCAAAGTAGCTCACCCACCCCCTACGCCAGCAAAGGCGGACACAGCCTGCCCAAGGAGCCCCAAGGTCCTTGCTGCTCAAGAGCAAGTGGTAGGGACACCAGGTCTGGCTCCACTGGGGTCAGGAGCTCTCCTGCTCCCAGCAGAGCCTGGCCAAGGAGCCCCGGGTCCCCTGCTGGGTGTGCAAGTGGCAGGGGACTCGGGGCTCGCTCAGCTGCGGGCAGAAGCCTTTCTGCCCCCTGGCTGAGGGCTAGCTGTATTGGCCGCAGCCCGCAAGGTGCTGAGTGAAAGCACGTCAGCTCCCATGGTGAGAGCTTGCAGCAGTTTTACCCAGCACCTCGCAGGCTGGGGGCCAATGCAGCCTTTTACAACAATCCTTTTTTTGGACAAACTTAACGTTTTAAAAATCTAAATGTAATGGAAGACATTTTAATGCTTTTAGAATAACTACTTAATTTGGGGGATAGTAATGCAGAACTGCTTCAGGTAATGACTCGGGTAATGGAGTCAGCTGTTAAAACTTTAGTATTACTGTTGCTTCATTATTCAGCCATTCTTTTATGTGCACTGAGCTCTTCAGCATTGATCTCTCCTGGTGACTTGCTTATAGGACTCCCTTTCCCGAAAGTCAGGTTTACTCTGTAGTAATGTAGTCCAGCTTGGATCATCCTTTGGATTAGGTCACAGAAAGGTCCTCTGCTGAGAGCAAACCACCCTGAAATCAGGACTGTTTGTACATACAGTCATACCCTGGGTTATGAACACTGCGGGTTGCACGTTTTCAGGTTGCGGACCACTCCGAACCTGGAAGTACTGGAACGGGTTACTTCCGGGTTTCGGTGCTTGCACATGCGCAGAAGCACAAAATGACGTCATGCGCAGAAGCGCCGAATCACAGCAGACGCGGTGCTGCGGGTTGCGAACGTGCCTCCCGCACGGATCACGTTCGCAACCCGAGGTATGATTGTATACTGTATAATGCTAATTTCACCTAAGGCAGGTGAGCATAGCCACTCTTACAGATTAGGGTTTTTAGATTTTCACCTGAAAACACACGATACAAATTTTCAGTTAAAATGAAAGGCAGATATTCTACATAGAATGTCCAAGCTGTGAAAATAATGAAAGTGACTTTACCTCCCTATGCTTTAAAGTGTTTTTTTTTAATAAAGATCATGCTGTCCTAATCTTTGTAAAAAAAATAAAAAATAATAATTTATCCAGGCATTTAAAGAAATGATTGCCAAAACAAGTGTAAAACTGATGCCTTACTTGCATTTGATCATCTAGAAAATCACACCCTTCTTGGATGTCTAAGGGAGTCTAAAATAATGCAAAAATGGAAAAGCGAATTCGTAACATGAATGTTTCCAACATGTACAAGTTTGGCATATTCTTCCATTTAGGGCCTTTCAACAATAACTCTGATGTGAAAAATAATCTGGTCATGGAATACATTAATGCTTTCTTAATTTGTGTATGTTGTATTCTCTCATAGGTGTCCTATGGTGAAATGGTGGGCTGTGATAACCAGGATGTAAGTATTAAAAAAGGGTGCAGGAGCTATTACACCCCCCCTCCCTCCCTCCCTTTCCCCCAGAACTAGACTCAGCTATGCAGTTTTCCATTTAAAAGCAGAATTTTGAGCCATCTTCCAAAGGAAGATTACACATGTCCATGAAACCAAGGCGTTACTCTTTCCACCAGCAGTTATTCATGGTGTAGATGAGGATAGATAGTTGCTTTGAGGATGGGGACTGGTTTTAGACAGGGAACTACTAGTTTAGTATGTACGTCTGAAGCTAACCAAAAGAGGGCAGGTAGTTTTTGCTTCTGTAACTTTCCAGATATTCCCAAATAATAGGTATTAAAACCAGTAATTCTGTTTTCTTTCTGTACAACAAAGCAAAGCTACTGATATCTGCCTAAATCTATACCGTGTCAAAAGAGCCTGTTTGGTGTTTTGCCGTGTCCACTTTTAGGAACCAATCGGTATGTCTTTCTGATTGCCTTACAGTGCCCTATCGAGTGGTTCCATTATGGCTGTGTCGGATTGACAGAAGCACCAAAGGGAAAATGGTACTGCCCACAGTGTACCGCTGCAATGAAGAGAAGAGGCAATAGGCATAAATAAATGTCCTGCTCGCTTCGCTTCAATTAAAAATATGTGCTATGCTGCGGGGAAAGGGGAGGGAAACGCTTCTTTGGAACCAGTCAAAGGAGGATGGATTTAGCTGTCATAAAATGTCGACTTCTTAATTTTGCTAGTTGTGTTTTAATATTGTACTTAAATTATTTATGCACCGCGGTTGTGCTATAAATACTTTTTCCAGTTAGCCATGGATTTTGTTCCAGTGGCAGACATATGCAGACATTTGTACTCTCTTAACCATTTTCTCTAAGCGGTGGGCATTCTCCAACAATTCAGCCTTCAAATAATTCCAGCAAATTTAAGATTTTGAATGGTTTTATATTTAGCTGGCATTCTACTGCATGTTCTGTACTCGAGAGCTGTTAATGTGGGATTTTGTGTATATAAGTGTTGCAGAAAGAACGTTAAGAGAATGGATTTTTTTCCAGACGCCTTTATAGCTTTGTTTCTTGTTGAAACTGAATTCAGCAGGCTGAAGAAAATGGTTCTTGTATACACTGGGCTGGTGTCCTCTAGAGTACTTGGTAAATAAAAACAGACTCTTGTACACTTTAAAACAAAAATTGTACCACTAGTCTTTATATGTTTTGGGGCCATTCAGGGCACAGGTCATTAAAAAAGGGTGTTAAAGTGATAAACCTTTTATACCAAATGTGTTTATTTTTGTGTGCAAGTGATCCTTTAAATTGAAACTGTATTAGGTGTTAAAATTAAAAGGAAAAAAATCAAACGCTAGTATTAATGCTTGGCATACTTTATCAGAAAAGTACAGTAAAACATTTCATGGAGGCTTTCATAATATGCTGTCTAACTGGAGGATTTTAAATAGTTTTTATTTTTTAAGAAAATATATAAATAAAAGGTTTCCATCTCTGACATACTAAGTACTATGCCTGTTGTGTTGTTGTTTTCACTGCCAGAAGCTACTCATTTAATAATGCCAGGTGGATTTAAGCAGAAAATTTAAAAATAAAAGTAGTTCCATACAACTGAGATTTGATACATTGCAATTACTCTTAAGAGATGCACATCTATATTTAAATGAAAATATGTTGCATATTTCAAGATCATGTTGGACTATGCTCAACTCACACTTAAGACATGGCAGAAATAATGTTATGTAAAACTCATTCAACCTGTCTTGAAGTGTTTTAATACTAGAGTGACATCCTCTGGCTTGCACAAGAGAAATCCGCTTGTGCCACAGTTTCTCCTTTCCCTCTGCACCCTTCCTGTACATCTCCAAAATCTGTTTTGGAGGGTCCTCAACC